GCTAACGATGTCAAAATATATTGTATATTTTTCACTTCAATGCCAATCGGAAGTGACTGCTCGAAAGTTTTGGCCTGTTAAGATGAAGATATATCAATCAAAATCGTTTTGTAGTATACCAAGCGGATAATTGATACTTACAATAATCAAATCGCGTCCTAGCGTATCCTGCGTGCGCACAACACCATCAGTAGAAACCTTGACTATGCCGCTGCTATCGCTATCCAATTTATAGACAACATCATCCAAGTTAGCTTTCAGCTGTATAGTGCTACGGGGCGCGACTAAAATCCAATCCATCGTGATGTGCTTGGGCGACTCAAGTTCCAAAATTTTGAATACTATAAGGGAAATTGTTTCAGTATTAGTTTGAGGTTAGGTGAGTTACAATTGTTAATTTTCTTTGCACTACTTATGTATATATGTATGTACTTACCAACAACTTCGACAGAGTTTGATATTTTTTGACCGGTTGATAGTTCCACAGTGGCTTGAATTTTAACCTTGCCGGGATTTAAAGCCTTTATACGCACAGATGTGAGATCTAGACTGTCATATTCAACACCTGTAAGCAGAGTTCAAAAGCAATTTCGGATTATTCATGTGTTTATCAAGCCTTTTTCTTTTAATACATATAACTAATAATAATTTTGTCAGTTCCGTATCTGTGCTTCAACGCTTACTTTATCGTTCAAGCTCATCAGAAAACATCATTGATTTTCTACGAATATTTTGTGAGCATAATTTGCTAGTCTCAAATAATATGCCGTATCGGAATATTCGCTCCATTTTTGTTAAATGCGTTCCTTAGACAAATAAAGGATTAGCATTTCCTTTTAAGATATGGAATTGAATTGTACATATTTGTTTCCTATAATGCTACTCAGCTATTCTACCGGTAAATACACATTATCAATGAGTATTCGCTTACCAGAATCCGCAAATACATTGTAAATGTCTACCACATCCTGTTGATTTGTTGTCCAAGTCACACGCATGTTCTCCAACGTGCCCAACACCATGGGTGAGAGATCAGGCACACCTGCAATTATTAACATTTACATTTGTACCACTTATCTTCCATACAGGATAAATACAAAGGTAGCATATCATATCATTTGTACATGCATATGTACATATGTATAGCTACTAACCCCAAACAGCAGCCGGCATTACTGCACCGCTACGTATGCGCACTAAAGGTGTCTTCACTTGTATATTCACAAAAGGTACAACATGCACTTCCACTGTGTCAGCGGATATGACCACTTCTTTGCCATTTCCGGGATTTGT